TTTTAGAAATTACTCAAGCTCTCTGTGCCTAAGTTTCCTCACATAGAAGATGAGAGTAGAACTAGTTTTGTCACAGACTTGTTTGTCTGGATTTGTGAACAGGATACTCATGAAGTGCCAAAATAGATGTTCAGTAATTGGTAAATATGGTTACTGATGGCAGTTCATGGTATATCATGTATGCAAATCTTGGATCCTTTTTCTATCCAGTTTCAGGACAGAGAATATATTATTATCCATCTTTTTTAAAAAGTTTATTTTATTTGTTGTTGTTGAGAATATGCACAGCAGAACATATACCAATTAAACAATTTCTGCATTTGTACAATTCAGTGACACTGATTGCATTCTTCAAGTTGTCCAACCATTCTCACCCTCCTTTTCCAAATTATTCCTCCAGCATTAACATAAACTTACTACCCACCAAGTTTTCTGTCTAATCTTTTGAATTTCTGTTCTCATTTTGTTACCATATAGATAGTTCTTAAAAGAGCACAATACTCAAGGTGGACATTCTTTACTACTTAAGCTGAACTATTGTTTGGTTTTAAGAAGTATGTATCTTTTTGACAATTAAATGCACTCTCACAAAAGGGAGATTTGGGATCCTCTTAACAGATTGTAAACTGCAGTGATCATTGAGTTTCTTCTGTTTGTAGTGTAACAAATGATAAACATTCATTTCCTTTTCCTCTAGAGACAGATGTGTGCGCGCGTGCGCGCGCGCGCACACACACACACATACTTACCTTGCCTATTTGGTCTTTAGCACAGACGGATACTGTTTCACAATGATAGAAGAAGATGATTCTGGGATGCCTGTGGTCACTTCTGGATGTCTAGGACTAGAAGGCTCAGATTTTCAGTGTCGGGTAAGAAAGATAACTTGATTTCAGTTTTTTCCCCCCATTGGCTAGAGTTCAGACAGTCAAATTGGAAGCAAAATATGGCTGTTGTTTCTCTTGGCTAGTCTTTTTTAGTCATTTGGAAAATAATTTGAAAATTCTCATTGGCCCAATTCTCCCTTTATTGTAAAATCAAGTATTCTTTTAAATTTTCTGTTAACTTCTTCCTGAATGATCCCTTAGATCATCTTGCTCAAATTCCAGTTTTGCTAATTGCAGTAAGTCAAATATAGTAGTAATTTTGTTGAAATGCAAAAGTTGCAGTAAGATAATACATAATAATTTGAAATAAATTACCTAATTGAAAACATTTTCGAGATCTGTGAGTAAAATTATCAGTATTTTAAGTGAGTTTTCCAAATAGTGCGAACTTCTTAAAGTTTAGATTATGTGACTTTGAAATGTAGAGGAAACCCACTAAAAGCTGTTTTGATTCTATTATAGGACACTCCCATTCCTCATCAGAGAAGATCAATTGAATGCTGCACAGAACGGAACGAATGTAATAAAGATTTGCACCCTACACTCCCTCCACTGAAAAACAGAGGTAAGGCGTAAGGCGAGGAAGGTCTCCTGGCTAGAACAGCTGTAGGCGTAATGAAAATAAAAACGAGAGTCAGTCTCTCTATTTCAAATTAATCTGTCTGTACCATTTTCCACAGCTGGAGGAGAGGACTGAAGCAAGGTGGCATAATGGAACTGTTGTTGGAAACAGTTGGGAAAATAGTCATACATGGCTTCACGCTTATAATTCTTATTACTGTTAACTGCTCCCCACTTCCCTTCAGAAGACTGCAATTCCTAGAGCTTGTAATGTGTAGCAGGAGAGTAGGGCAGGGAGACAGTGTTTCAGGCTTACCTCTGAAGGTTATTTAGAAGTTGTACTTTACTCAAAAGCTACCATTTTGCAGCATTCATTTTAAAAATTAAAACGTTATAAAGGACTGAATCAAAGATTATTTGCTGTATGACATTTTCTTTTATCTGTGCTGGAGTAACTACTTTTCAGTCAATTCTTTTATCAATATATTGCTAAAACTTATACATTTAAGTGTTGTTCACTAAAAAAAAGACTTTTAGTTAAAAACAACGCTCATGTTTCCTTTTCTCCTCCTTGCTCCCACCACAAAAATAAGGATTTGTAATTGTCATAGAGTCCTAAGGCTTATAGCAGTGATTTAAAGTGATTCTTCATGATTGATTTTATTTTTTGGGGATAGAAAATCTTCCCTACAAACTATAATGGTGTTTCATGATTTTGATGATAACATATTACAACATTCGTTCCTGCTATAACCTAGAAAGTTATGTATGATTGATTATTCAAAATTCAGATAAAAAAGTCACACACATTGTTGCTTTTTTCCTGTTTGTTTTTTGCCAGGTTATGTGCTAGGTGTAATGGATACAAAAATTAATGAAGAATGTTCTTGCTCTTGAGACATTCACACTGAAATGTGAGAAACTTGTAAATAATTAAATGATATTTGGTCATGAATATCTCAATAATAGAATTAGATTTATAAAGCATATTAAGGACACAAAAGAGTGAGTGGCCAGCTCTTTCTGGGGTAGGAGGTTATCAAGAAAACTTTATAGAGGTGATACTTGAAGTGAAATTTTAAGGATAAATAGGAGTTTGCTAAGTTGATAAGATAGAAATAAAAATTAAAAAATAAAAATAGCTAACATGAGCCAAGCACTGTGTTATTATGTGAAGTTACCTGTTTGAGCCTTACAATAACCCTGAGATGCTTATGATTGTTATTGCCAGTTTAAAGATCCAGAAATTGCAGCACAGAGAAGTTAATTAACTTTTCCTAGGTTACACAGATTGTGAGTAGCAATCCTTCTGAACAGAGGCACTAGTATGTGCAAAGGTTTGGTTTGTAGTATTTGAGAAACATTTGCAACATGCCGGCATATGAAAGAACATGGCTGATTGGGGAAAACTTTGTAACTAGATTGTCTAAAGCATTTCTATTTGAAATATGTCTATGGACCCGCAGCATCAGTATCACTTACGAATGCATTAGAAATGCAGAATCTTGGGCCTCAGCCCAAATTTACTGAACCTGCACTTTTTCTTTTTTGGAACCTATATTTTTAACATGATTTCCAAAGTAATTCATGTGCACATTAAAATTTGGAAGGACTTTCTGTAGGAAAGGACCTCAGTGTGGTGCTGGCATATAACTTAGTGCACATAGCTAGCGCCACTTGTCTCTCACCACGTGAGTTCGGCAACGCAGTGTTTAAAGAGAAGTCCACTAATGTCACATATCTGTGGAAGTTTTAAATGTTTACTCTCAATTTTTATAGTTATGCCTTCGAGGACCAGATAAGAAAGTAGATAGTCCGTGGACAACAGTTTGAATAGCACTGGTGTAGGGCTTGTGATGTGGGGAGGGATGGTGGAGAGAAAGGAGTAATTTAAAATGGAGGTAGAAGTGCCAGATTTTAGAATCTCTCCCTTCACGGTGAAGGAGTTTTTTTTTTTTTTTTTTTTTTGCACACAAGTGAAAGTCATGTCTTAGAAGTAGCACTGGGGTTTAGGAAAATTCTGACTCTCAAGTGCTGCAATGCACGTACTGTCCTCTAGATGGAGCCAGATTCTAGTTAGGATCAAGAAGATTAAGGGAGGATTCCCTGTTTGTAGAATCTTTGTAAAGTAATATAAAAAGTCTCCACAAGACAGAGTGAAAAGCATTTGAAAAGATGGGCACAAATGCAAAGACAAGTACTTGGTTCAGTGCAGTATGGGAATGAGATGCAGGAGGGGCTGGTGCGTTATACTGAGGATTATACACGTGGTAGGTTTGGATGGAGTTAAGTGGCTTTAGAGTTTAAAGCTTTGAGCCCTGAGGATTCTAAGTAGTGCCTCGGCAAGGTCTCTGCAGATTCTACCTCACCCTTTTGAGGCAGTGAAAGTCACTGCAGACTGTGGTCTGAGAACACTGGCATTTTGACATAGCTGTACCACAGAGCCACAGAGCTGCTACTTTTTCTTTCTTTATCCTATATGTATCTATAGTGTTCTCACTGGAAGTGTACTATATACATTTACTGAAGATCAGTAATACCTTGATAAGAAACATTTGCGTTGCAACCATATTGGATATATGTATGTATGTATAAGTACCAAAAATAAAGAGCAGGGATGATATCGAAGACACATGTGACCATCTTCTGTTGATATTTTTAATTTTAGCTGTCTTTGTTCATACAGAGGCCAAGCCCTAACTTCTGTGGGCCTGGGGCAGTAGTACAAGTGAAAGTCCACATACCATTTGCCTAAGTATTAAAACTCATAAATCAATGTAGCAGACTGGTAAATAAAATATGTTTTATCAACCTAACTTAAATGTACTTTCATAATGACAGGAAACATCAGCTTGGTATTTAAGATGCTTGAACTCTTGCACTTGTTTACTCTGACATAGGGGTGTGAGTGACGGGGAGAGACTCATTCCCAGTTTTGTCCAGCACTGTGAGTGGTCTCTCATGCATGCATATGGACACCCCAGCTGTCAGGTTCATACCCTCCCCACCCCCCTTGCCACAGCTGCCCCTTGGTCACCTCTGGGCAACCCCTCAGGTATTGGGGTACAGACACCAGCTGCCTAGTCCACTCTTGGGAGGTCAGGCATGGGAAAGAGAGCCTCACAATCCCTGGACACATGCACAGGGCCATTTAGGCAAAGAATTCCAGAGTTCTGGACACTGGTGAGTAGTTTAAATGGGAAATGGGATGGGACAGACTCTAGCAGACCCGTTCCCTTGGTCTTACAGACCCCTTGCTCAGTGACAAGGGCATGGTTGGAGGGGACTAGAGCAGGGCCCTCTAAAGGTATGGGCCCAGATCAAAGACTCCTCTATTTTCTGATCTAAGGTCAATGGAAATTATCATAATAGTGATGTTTGCTAATGTGAAGGGAGAGCTTACCATGGCCCTTTTCTACATAATTTACATACACTAACTCGTTTAATCAGCATAACAACCCTGTGAGGGAGGTACTATTATCCTCATTTTACAGACATGAAAGCTGAGGAATAGTGAGGTTAAGTTCTGTGCTAGGATTACACAGCTAAAGTGGTGGAGTTGGTTATCTCGTTAAATTGTCTTTGGAAAGCTCTGATTGACATTCTCAACTGCTTTTCGTATTTAAAGTCAGAAAACCCAAAATAAATAATAGCTAGCCATTTTGCATACTAATAAATAATTAGTATGGCTGCTTTAAAGACTTTTGTATATCTCGTTGCATACTTAGAATTTTCTCAGATACGTATTACTTTCTATTCTGAGAATATGGTGTTTGTTCTTTCCTGCCTCCCTTTATTTCTTCCTCCCTTCTTCCCTCTAATTTAATATTTATGAAGTTTCAGTTGTGTACTAGGCCTGTGGTTCTCAAACTTCAAGTGTATCAGAATCACCGGGCTGTTGTATGCCATCGAGTCAATTCCCACTCATTGGTACCCTATAGGACAGAGTAGAATAGCCCCCCTAGGGTTTCCTAGGCTGTAGTCTTTACTGGAGCAGGCACTGGTGGGTTCGAACCACTGACCTTTTGGTTAGCGGGTGAGCACTGTAACCATTACACCACCAGGGTTCCTTGAATCACCTGAAAGGCTTGTTAAAATACAGATTGCTGGGCTTTACTCAGAGCTTCTGATTCAGTGGATCTGGGTGGGCCCCAATAATTCACATTTGTTAGGAGTTCCCATATGAGGCCAGTGTTGCTGGCCCGGCAATCACACTTTGTGAACCAATGTACTGGGCAATGCCCTATATATCAAATTATTATAAAGCAGAAATTGTTATTTAAAAGACTAGGAAGCTGAAAAATCCAGCTCACCATTTTGTTATTGTGATTGTTCGTCTTAAATAATTCCTTTTCCAAAAAAGTTAAGTGATTAACCTTATCAGAAATCATCTGTGTTAGAAGGTACTAAGTAATAACAGGCTTAGGTGAGATCCTGTTATTAGAAATCAGAGTACTAAGTGTAGATATAAATACCTACCAAAACCAAACCACCTTTTCTATCCAGGGTTTTTTTGGAGACAAGGCTTTTTGTTTCCTTCTTCTTCATATTTTTTTTTTTTAAACTTAGATGCATTTAGCAGGAAATTAGAGATAAACAATCACATTCAGCAAGTATTTATCAATGTATATTTGTGTCCATGAGATTTTATTTGTCTATAAAATAAAATAGTTTAAAAAGAAAAAAAGCTGAAGGGTGACCAGAATGCAGCTTACATTCTTTTATAAATATTAGTTTTCTGTTTTCCCTGCTTATTCCATTGCAGCATCAGCAAACCAGAATACCTTGGGGATCACATTCGTTCTCTTTCTTAAGGAGGAAATATGAAAAGTAATTAGAGCAAATGCAACACCTTCATTGCAAGCAACAAAATATGATTCTGGGGAGCCCAGTAACACTGCAGCTTGTCCAAAGAGTAGGAAGAGACGTGCGTGTTTAAATGTGGAGGTTTCTAGAGAGGAGTCGTGGTGCTGTGGAGTCTGGCTGCTGGCCTGCAGAGTTAGT